ATCTTCTTCCCTGTAAGCAAATGGTGCTCTAAAGCGTGTGCATTAGGTTCCTCCTCGAACTTGAAAGAATTTCTCGCTATAACCTAATCTCTTTCGAGTCCTTCAACTTCTAAAAGTTTTTCATAACAACCACCCAAAAAATATCACCAATGCCTTCTCCACAAATGAAAACTTCACTTGAGGAATCACCCTTATCAACCTCCTAGTAAAAAAATTGATACGTTGTCATCAATGTCATTACCCAAATCAATGAAATTGGGTAGAGTATTGTAACTATCCTATTTAAATAAGAAGACTCTTTGTCAAAAACTGGTGGACTAACATATCCGAATCAGTCACCGTATCAAAAAACCATTATCCAACAATTTTGTAAATAAAGTTCGAAGAATTCTGAAATTATTACGATTCTTTTTCCGATCGTATTTCGGTCATTCTTGCGAATCAATGTATTGGTGATCATTATTTGTGTTTATCTCGTCTAATAAACGTTTTCACTGTATCGACTAATTCCACAATCCAATTTATTTTAACGACTAATAGAAAAAACATACCCCACAATTTTCATTTAGATATAATAGAGGAACAACAAAAGTGATGAACCTAGCCAAACGTTGAAACACAATACTTATACAAAAGATACACAACATATCATGGATTTGTGCAGATTCCATATGGATGAAAATGGGCAATTCAAATTCCACAAAAGGTTTTGATGGCACTTTGCATTATTGTTGGCCCCCCTTTCTTGCAGTACTCAAGAAATGCCAGATGACTAAATGGCTTAAATTTCCACGGGTTTTCACTATCAACTAGCTTGTCTGGAACTTCCACCATCCCATTGACACAGGAAAAATTTCCAATAGAGTATTTCTCTTCTTCTCCTCTTATGACAACCCTATGTAGGGGAGCATGTATTCGTCCGTTGCTCCAAGCCTTGCAAAGCAACATGTTTACGTTTAAAATTTAATTATACTTCTATTAGTATGTGTACGTATATGTGTGTTTAGAGAGAGAGAGATTTCTCACCATCATCGGCTCGCCGGCATTGACTAGGTAAGCAGAAGGAGATGGCTGAAAATCAAGCCACTCACCGTCTCTTGTTTCTATCTCCAAACCTCTTACATGATTTGTATCAATTATGGTCATAAAATTCTTGTCAGTATGAGGTATAAGTCCAATATTAATCTCATTTTCCTTGGGGACTCGATATTTCATAAATCTTGTCAAGTAAAACGATGACTGAACTAAGGAGTTGTAGTAATTCTGTACTCCATAACTGTTGAACACCATTTGCTTTACTGTCTGATCCAATTCCAACAGCAGCTTACAGTATAAATGTGTAGTACCACTGCGTAAAAAGAGCAAAATAAAAATAATAACGGGCCCTAGCATAAGATCAATTCAGCAAATTTTCTGGAGGCACCAAAGCAGAAATAATATATTCTGAGCAGTATGAAAGTCCAATCAGTTAAGTTGCACAGAAACAGAAACAAAAGATTTTATGTGGTATGTACGCAATATGTTTTTTATTCTCCAACATAAAACACTGGGGAAAGGGTTCATAAAATTTCTATATTTGTGTCTTTAATAAAACAACTAAGTATAGGATTTGTGTTTATTTGAACATTACCAGACTATCATTCCCAGTTGGCCACATGATGCTGGTGAAGCTCTTAGTAGCTTCAAGATTTGCTCCATTTTCAATTCCCGAGTATTCAAAGAGTGGCATGATAGGGAAGTTCCCACCATACCCAAAACCAGCAATACTGGACTTGTTTTTTACTTTGGTTTCCATTGGAAGATAAAATAACTCCTTTGCAGATTCAAACATTTCGTTGTGCAGATCTGAAGTGATTTTCTTGTACACTGCTATAAAACAACCATATGATTCGAGTGCACCTCGGACAGAAAGGGATGTTGATACCCATGAAGTTGTGCCAGGAATCAAATTTTCCTCACTGAATTCAACTATAGGAAGCTTAGATTGTGCATTACAACCCATAATGATTAACTTATGTTATTCTTTCTTCATCTCTCTATACACAATGAGTTTAATCGTAAATTCATGATGCTATAACTGTTAGCTTTTATACTACTTACAGTTCTTCATGGTGCCAAGTTGAATGCAATTATATTACTGCCACACATTTGACTGTATCTTTATATTAATTACACACATTAGTCTAAATTATTACATTAATGCCACAGATTTATCTGAATATTTTTGCTCTTATTCAAGAGTTCTTCATGATTGGGTTGCAAAAAATATCAAATATGTATTAGCTGTCTTAAAGTTTAAAAGAATTGATAATGAAGGCCTTGTTTTATTCGTTAAATGAATTAATATTTATAAAAACACACTAGATGCAATAAAATACAATTAAATACACATCAATGTCACAACGAATGGATGGAAATTAGCTCATGCTATCTTGGCGGTTGGATTTGTATGCGTTGGGTTTTGATACCCAATAAATCCCGGACGATGATGTTATTCATTGGGAATTCTCAGTTGGCTTTGACCAAATAACTGAATAATTATTGACATCTCTATGAAATGACTCGACCCCCGAAAGTCACTTAAACATATTTGAAGTGGCCCAATTTAATTGGAGACGCTCATGGTTTCTTCACTTCTTGGATGGCTTTTAGTGTTGGCCCACTTATCGATATAATTGACTCACTTATTCGTTACCTATTGGTTTTCTTTTGAGCTAAACCTAACCCTTAACTATATACATGTGCTGCCACTTTTGCAAGGACTGTGTGTTAATTTTTCCCCTTTTCATTGAGAAAGAAAATCGACAGTTTCTTCCTTGATTGTGCTTGCTATCTTTTCATTCTTTCTTGCTTTTGTGACTGTCTTCTTAGGGAACCTTTGTGTCCTTTGTGGGTGCAATTGTTAGCAACCAAAGTGAAGAAGTTGTGTGATTTTGGGTGGTTGATTGAAGGTGTTTGATAAGCTTGAGATTTGTAGACTAAGCCCAGATTCTACCAAATTGAAGGTCCATTTCGTTATATACGGTTTCAAAGCCACGTTGGTGGTGGATTTTCGACAAAAAATGATTTGAAAACACCCAAAATTGAAGCAGAAACCGACTGGAACGAAACTTTCCAAAAAATTCCCAAATAATTGGACCTACAATCGACCAGGAGGTGGTTGAGGAAACGGAGACTAGGAGGCGATCTGTAGACGGAGGAGCTTTTAGGCAATCAGTATGTGGAGGCGCGTCCGGCTTTAGGCAGAATATTTCTAGCATGATTTCTAAAGATTTGATATTGTTAGTTTTCTGTTTCAAGTTATATAGTAAATTTGGCTGAGTTTGCCCCTGCGCGTTCGAGATTTGACTTTTGCTCGATTGGTTGTTGTAATTGTTGGAGACTTTAGGGTAATAGAGGTGACCCTAAAGGGATAAATTCACATTTCTCGGTATTTACAGACTTAGATTGGTTCATTCTGGTATATTGGCTTATTCCAATTTAAATTTTGGTATTAGCGCGTCATCATATGGGGTGACATTAAGATTGAGTTATCATGTGGGGTAACATTGCTTGTGCTAGAAATTAGGAATTATTTGCTCTATTTGAAGTGTTGAATTTTGATTGGAAGTTGGTAATTGTTTTTTTTTTTTTTTTGTGCTTTAACTATTGTTTAGTCATTGTGTGAGATTTCATTGCATGAAAATTCGAATTTTTGATGACATACTTTCGTTTTACATTGATTACATTGTTAGAATACGTAGACTTGACCCGTTTGAACATTCTCTTCATTTAAGATCGAGAATCTTATGAAATCTTGGGAATCTAGAACAGTGTATACTGCTTGGAACCTTAGGATTACTTTGTGTGACCTATTTGTGCACTTTGGTCGTTCTCTTTTTTTTTTTTTTAAATGTCTTCACATTTCAAAATTGAAATTTTCAATGGGAAACAGAATTTTTCATTTTGGCAACAAAAGATGAATAGGATTTTGGTTCAATAAAATGTTTCAAAAGCTAAAGATGGCAAATTTTCTACAAATTTGAAAGAAGCAAAAACAGAAGAATATGATGAAATTACTTACATTTCAATTATTTTACACCTATCTGACATTGTTTAAAGAAAGGTTGGAAACTCGATTCTACAAAAGAATTTTGGCAATAGTTGGAGGACTTATATTTGCTTAAATCTACTCCTAATAAGTTGTACCTGTTTGAAAGATTTTTCAATTTTAAAATGAATCATTCAATGGATATTGATGACAATCTGGATACTTTCAACAAACTTGTTCAAGATATCGTTAATTGTGATGAGAAAGTGGCTGAAATATATAAGGTCATTATTTTGCTTAATTCTATGCTCAATTCATATGGAGAGATTCAGAATGAAATTGAGTATGGTAGAGACACTTTAACACCCGAAATTGTCATAGATTTCCTTAAGAGTAAAGAGATAAAGATTAAAACTGAAAAGAGAATAAGAGAATTGGTAAGTTGCATATGATGAGGAGTAGAATGACAAACTTTCTGCCTTTCTCTTTATTTTACTCTCAAGAATAGAATGTCACAAGTAAATGGTTCTATGCCCTATATATAAGAGTAAAAGCACTATGAACATTGTATACTGTGAGCACCAAATTGAGGTTCACAACGTGAACGCCAAATTGTAGCTCCACAGTGTGTATACAAAACGCTGGCTTTATAGTCACACACACACACACATGAACGTCCACATATACCAACCAGTACATAGAACAACACTTGCCATACACATGCACAAAGCATCTTATAATATACGAAGGGAAAATCTTATACTCCACAATAAGCCTTGATCGGACATTTTGATATCCTTCCTGTTAGGTTTATTAATTTTTCATATGGGTCTAAATATGTAATTAATTGTGTATAAGACTATCTTAAATTTGAGTCAATTAAAGTGATCTAATAAAGAATTAAATTGTTGGGTTTAGGGTTTCTAAATAAAGTGTGAGCCGAATTATGTGCATAAAGAATAAATCTATTAGGGTTGTATTTGACGATGAGCCAAATACATATGGAAACTATAAATAAGGTTATGGTCCTAATTCTTATGTAACTTCTCATTCTTTGTGTCATCCCATTAATACAAGAATATAAGAGAAAACATATTGAAGATAAAAATCAAGAAACCCACAATCACGAATCTCGATAACAATAAAAAATCAAGAAAAAAGGATTCAAGCAATGAAATTGAAGAACAAGACAATCAAGATTATGGAGGAAGAAGCAAAAAAAATTAAGATCAAGAACTCAAGAACCAAAAGAGCCAATAATCAAGATTCAAAATCTGGAATCAAGATCCAGTAATAAGAAATTATTCTCAAAAAATTAAGGTATGTTCCGCACTATTAATTTTCTTGGTAATTTGACGTGGAAAATCTTGACAATAAAATGATTAGGTTTTCAAGGTTCAAAGTTTAATAAATTTTAAAACAAGTGGTATCAAAATCAACTTCATGTTAAACATTTGAGATTAAAGAAAGAATTTTAGGGTTGATATTCATACTTTGGATTTCTCAAATTTTAGCCCTAAATTACAAATTAAGGATTTTTGGGTGTTTTCAAATTTGACAATTTTACAAATTAATTGTCGAATTTGAGTATGTTTCTAATTGCTTATTTCATGTTATAATCCGGATTCAACCTTTGAGGAATATAATTTAAGATTTATAAATGAGGGAAAGGCTAAGGTTTTTTTTTTTTTTTGCGTGCTCGTGTTTCTTCTGTGAAGGTCTTGTTTGGGGAGATATGTTGTTAAGAAGAATTGCTTAAAAGTGACATCACCAAATTCGCTTAAGGTGTGTATGAATGTGCTCCTATTGGGAATTTTAAAGTCCCTCGGTATGAAAGGTCCAATATTGGTACTGTGGTCTACCCAAAAGCCAATCAGAAGGCATACAAGTGTTTTTCAGATTTCAATATTTCTTACAGACAGAGGGAGTAAATTTTCTCAATTTTCGTTCCTTTCTAAAGGAAATTTTATTTTCTATTTGCATATCAAACTTGTGAGAAAAAGAAGTTTATAGCGTTCTTACGGTTGTTAAATTATCTTTGTAACATTTATTTATTGAAGTGTCAATCTGATAAATGTTCAAGAAATAGTAGTAGGTCAGGCACAAAAGCCACGGTCACACACTTTACAATTATCTGTAGGAAAAAAAAAATTAAAAGAGTAAGGGGCAATCAAATTTCAAATCATGAAACTAAAATTTATTTCAGATTACTAATTTTCTAAAATAGATTAGTTGAAGCAATATGTTATCAAAGTAATATCTCTTGCCCAAATTAGTTTATTTGGAATATTAGGAAGGTTGTGTGCACATAATTCATGCGAATATTGATAAGCCCAAATGGAGGCTAATATTTGGCCGAATTATTTTCACACATGTGGTGATAAATATGTGATAATTGTAAAGTTTTCCATAATGTGAACATTGAGTCGATCCAAAGATAGATTTGATATTTTATCGAATTTATTATCAATATTTGATTACTACACCAAGAGTGCCACTTACAAGTTTGTATTTCTATCCAAAGACTAAATATCAATATTGTGCTCGGTCTCTTGTGATAGGGTTCACCATTATTTCAGATTATTGATTGTTCAATACGGATTCCTATGTGAACATGTTACTTAGGTTTAAGTTCTCTATTCGGTTAATCCATCTATTTCTACAATATATGTCATAATCAATTCAATTTATGCGCTTAAACCAAAGTTTAAGGGCTGGAAAGAGAATATTTATATCGTTTTTGGCGGCATCAATCGAGACATTGCAATAAGGACTGAACAATTCACTAATCTTACGGATAAAAGTTTCGCTAATAAAAGGGGACTCGAATAAAAGGAATCATTTAAGCCGCATAAATCATATGACCATGAAGCGTGGAATTCCAGTAAAATTCAGGGGCTCTGTATTAGATGAGGTAACTACTGCCAATGATTTTTTTAAAGAAATTGAAAAGAAAAAAGGTTTTGCAAAAG